AGTATATACAGAATTAGATGACAATATCCTAATAGTATTGTAGCACTGAATCACATTCTATGCTCTATTCCACAGACAATTGATTGTAGTGTCGGTGCACTGCAAACATGCCATTTAAAATTCAATCACAACTCATCCCAACATATATTAAATAACAATAAATCTAATAAAATCTCAATTTTAAAAATAACAATTTTCATTAGTAAGTCAAAAATAAATTCAAACAAAGCATTAAATTTTTTAAATATTTTGTAAAATTAATATAAATAAGAATTGTTAGAGAAATACAAATTCGTGATAAGTTTAACGATTAGCGATTGAATTGAGTGATGAGATATCGATTTTTTATAAAGTGCTTCACAAAGAGATGAATAAACTGTGAGTTTAAGACATTTCAATTAGATTTATATTAAACTTTGTAATATTCTTAAATGGGATTAAACTAACAGAACATATATTTGCTAAAATTGAATGTCTATATCGGTATAACTTATACTGTAATGTCTAGCTGTAAGTTCTAATGGCACACAAAAGGGAGGTGTGAATAATAGTGGAGGGCATAGGGGTATAGCATTTATAACATACAATCGACAAAATACACACTTTTTTGTAAGTGAAAGTCAAATAAGAGATTTTCAAACCAATGATTTACGAGCTAATTGAATACACAACCTATAGGTCTCTGCATACGTGCTTCACTTATAAAATAATTAATCAAAGGACTAAACAAATTGATCGAAAGATTTAGAGTTAGAGTTAGTTAAGATTAATTGGTACTCAAAGTTAAAACTTTATAATTTTAAGTTAAATTGATTTTAAAAACCAAAACTAACAAAAAACTTATTTTACACAATTGCGAGCGATTTAAAAGTATTATAAAATATAATTAAAATATAATATACAGTTTGCAAATTGGCTCAAAGGTTTGGAAATGTAAAGAATTTTAAATGCTTTTCAATGAGTTGTCTTAACAATGAGAACATATTTGAATCCATTTGACACCGAATTTAATAAATATTTTAGAGAATAAATTATACGCTAGAAGTGAAAGCAATTGATTGAATACAAAATTAGACTTGGATTTTAAGCCATTAATATGTAATAAATGTATATTTTGTGTAATAAGTTGAATCCATTCGTGGGAATGGAGGGAAGGGTCGACACAACAGGAAACTTAAGGCCTGGCAATGAATGAGCAAAGTTTGCAAAAAAGGAATAATTCAGATATCAGGCAATGTATCGCTTTATAATTGACTACTATTTCCTCAAGCATTGGTCTACTTATAAGACATGTCATACCATTGTTTAGTGAGAGCACGGGATGACAGGCCGAGTCGAGTAGGGCTACCCTTTCGAAGTGAGGCATGGAGTCGGTGTCGATGACATGGACATAGCTATAGCGGCCATTGCATAGGACACAGGGCCACATCATGTCCGGCAAACCATTGCACGAGCACTGAATCGTCGAATATTTAGCAGCTTTTCTGGTGGCGCCCGACAGAGCACTCATACTGTGGACTAGTTTTCGTTTTCGCATACTATTCATCGGAAGAGTTCGCATACAGTAATGACTATCACTTTCAGTGGTTGTCGACACTTCACCCGTCACTTGGCTTTGTGTTTGCAATGGCTGTCCGTTAACAGCATTAGTTGTCACACAAGTCAATCCGTTTGCTTTACAAACTACAGGCGTTGGAACAGTGAGGTTGTGGTCACTGGTGCCAAAAGATATCGGCCCTTTAGTAGCCCTTAATTGTCGATACATTTCGTTTTGCTGCCGAATCCGAAACTCCAGATCTGCTACCTGTGCCTGAAGCCATGTCCACCGCGAGGCTATGGCCGCCCTCTCCACACACCACTTCCAACACGACCTCTTCCGCCTATGGAGTGACAAATGATCAGAAATTTTAATTATTAAAACAATTCATTTTATAAAATACACATACATTGGAAACATATGTCCAGTGCTCTGAATGGGAGTCGAATGTTGTGGCACTGAATCTTCACTATAGTCTTCCAGTTCATCACAACTCTCTCCTCCGGAACTGCTTTCAGTGGCGTCGGAATCAAATCTACTCTCGAAATGTCTTAAGTTAGAGGACAAGGTGTCGATAGTGTTGAGAATGGCGTCCTTCTCTTCCGAGTGTTGTGGTTGTGATGAGGACTGGGATTGACTTTTCTGTAATAACTTAACTAAAGAGGACTTTTCACTAGAATGGGGGAAGTGTTGGGTCGCAGTGGTGGGGGTTTGGGGTCCTTGAGGTAAAACACTGGATGATTGGGGGCTCGGAGTGATTGATGGCGTTTGTAGTTGTGGTCGAATAGGTGTTTGTTGTGGATAGTAGTCACGCAAATGGTTGGACTCATTAGGAGTGGTCGTTGAGCCCAACCTCTTGACGAGATTGACGAGCGCTGATGTCGACAATCCTTTGACACCCTCTGGAGTCAGGAGTTTCATCCGATCCTCGACTTGATTCGAATGAGATTGAAGTGGAGTCACAGAAGGGGTCTGGAGGTCGGGCTGTCTCTGACATCCGATTCCCAAAACGTTTTGTTGGTTTTTGACAAATGCTTTCATTTGTTGAGACAAATGTTTGTGCGTTTGTCTGAACTGAAGACGTCTGATCCGTCGCATCAGTCGCTCTGTTTGTCGCACTAAAGACATGTGTTCTTCGCGAACATCAATCGCTTCCAACTCCACATTCACCGCTTCATTGCCTCCACTCTCCAGACCCTCATTCGTGTGGTCTGTCGAGTGGTCGACGGGCTGTGGAGTGAAAGACGACTCGTTGTGTTGATCTTCACTCGAATTGTTCTCAAGAATTGATTGAGTCGTCAATTCTTCACTCACTTGTGATTGACTTTTATTGAGAACTTCTTCAATCATTTGATCCACCGTTTGGTCATTGAGTGGAGAGTTTTGAGAGAAACAATTGGTTTCCATTTGATTGACACTATTGGTGTGGATTTGTGGCTCATGTGTGTCCTCATCGGTTTTGTTGGTATTGGTATTGTTGAGGTGATAATCCAAACCGTATAAATGGATCCGCTGTCCGTTTTCGGGTTTCCCGGACTTCAATGAATTCAAAAGTATTTGTTGAGGAAAGTTGTCTTTGGAGGAGGCGTTTGATAAACCCATTGTCGGCTCACAAGAAGTACCAATACTGTCAACACAAGTGCTCACTATTGATGAGGTACTCGAAGAACTAGTGGTGGTAGTGGTGAGAGAGTTAATGTCCAAATTGTTATCAATAAAGCTGTCATTCAATTGATGGCCGTTTTGGAGCCCTTTATTCATATTAAGGTTTTCGGTAATCAATTGGTTATTAGTTTTCACTCCAATTGTCGATCGGATGGAACAGATAGTCGACAGATATTTCGATTGGCTTTCGATGGTTTCGATGGATTTGTCGCTCAGATTCAGGTCTAATGTCTCGCAGTTATCTTTAAGTGAAAAGCGAAAACGAACGACACTTTTGGTGCACATGTCATCTGAAGAACAGGAGGAATGGGTTACTGTGGGTGTCATCGATCATTATCATCTATATCAAACATCAACACATTGTCCTAACAAATGGTACGAGAAAGGGATGACAAACCGAAAGGCCAGTCGTGTGGGAACTAGTCTTGAGGCGGTAGTTCTGTGAGGACTGGTAGCCAACAAAGCCTTGGCGTTAGGCCTACCACTCACACAGACACCACACTCCACATACACACACCACATGTATTGCTGGCCATCGGTCACCACAACTGGTCCATAGAGGCATCCAATGTCCAAATGGGTTCACTTTATGGCGCTTTTGATGAATATATGGCGATCACTGCATCAGTACATCAGTGCCTCCCATAAGACATAGACATCTAATAAGACATAAAATGAATGAAACCAACAGTCAGTCACTCCTATAGCTATAGTGAAGTATAGCTCAGTATAGCTCACTATAGCTCTCTCTACAGCTCTACTCCTATACAACACTACGAAAGCTTCAATCGTTTCATTCGTTTCTCTTTCACTACACTCTATGCAGCGCTATATCTCTGCTATTGTGTACTACACTGTAAAGCATTGCCATAGACTCGCATATATCGAGTCACACACAGGCCTACACTGCACTGCCATCCCTTACACACCATTCACTCATCAAAGCCTATAATCAAAATGTTTGCCCCTTTGAGACAACACATACGCATTACAATGAAAGCACGTCATACATACATATGAAGCACCACCACCACACCTACACCCACCCCACCTATCACCACCACCATCACACACACACACATCACCGCCAACACTTCCAACCTCAACTTACATACATCCACTTACCACACATTCACCATTCAATGGGTTTGAGACAATTCTTGGCGCAGACTATTTCATTGTGAGACACAATACACGCAATACATGCTGTGATGCGACCACTGATTCAGTCGATGCAGTCGACCACAAATGACGTGCAAAGCAGTTGGCGACCACACGAGAGAGTTTGAAACAAAATTAAATTTTCCATTCAATTGGATTGAAAATAATGAACAAATTGTGAGATTAAACGGCACTTATGTTAGCAATGCATTGGTGTGTCCGTGCACTACACCACACGTGTGTCCACTCACTCGCACTCACTATTCAATGACTAATTGATTGACTATTTATCGCACGTTATATGCAGTGAAAGCAGTGAATCAGTGAATCACTCATTCATTGGATGTTTGAGTGAATGTTTTGAACGAAAAGTGAAAACTAATTGTAATCGTAATCGACGTCCAATTGGCTGTCATTTAGCAATTGATCCACACTTTGCACACCATTTACGACACTATAACTCATATATGA